CCCCCTGATACCTCCAGCTCAAACACACCCCAACCAGGCACCCAGATGAAACCTAGCTTCCTAATAAATGATAGCCGTCCATTTACTCGGAGCCAAGCCACACTAAAAGCCTCCAATACAGGAAACACAATGTTGCCAGCCAATCAAGACAAAAAAGCTACAAAACAGACAGAAGATATTAGAAACACCAATCAAGCAGAACATAGCAAACTCCAAGACCAATAAACACAGACCAAGACTCCCAACTAATCAGGATGGAGAAAAAAACCATTCTGGCACAGCAGTAGGCTAGCACCAAATTTAAAAATAAAAACCCATGAAAACTTAAGAATATACACACACACACACACACACACATACATATACACTCACTCACACATACACATACACACCAGTAGTCCTCAACTTACAACAGTTCCTTTAGTGACTATTTAAAGTGACAATGGCTCTGAAAAAAGTGACATGGTCATTTTTCACACTTACAACCAACGTAGCACCCCTCCGTTATTAAGTTATTAGCATAATAATGCAGTGATTCACTTAACAATGGTGGCAAGAAAGATTGTAAAATGGGGCAAAATTCATTTAACAAATGTGGCACTTAGCAACAGAAATTTTGGGCTTAGTTGTGGTCGTAAGTAGAGGACTACCTGTATATAGAATTGGATTAAATACTGTAGTTTATATACTTATCAGTCAATTATATCGTTTACTTGATCAATGTATGCCACGTATAACATTTGGGAAGGAGAAAATTGAATGACATAATGTTAAATGTCACTCTGTGATCATTATGTTTCTCAATGTTTGGTTTTCATCTTAGTATGGTATCCAAGATGTCTAAAGTCATTTGTTGAGAGGCTAATACATTCACACAAGTATCTTAATTTACTAAGTTAAAGTAAAACTTTTCCACATTGTTTAGATATTCCTGTTCAATTTTCTATTAGCAAAATTTTATGTTTATTTCCACAGGCTTTAAGAATGGCTAGAAAACATGAACATTTTGGATTAAGCTATTTGGAAGAATTGAATATAGTTAAGGAACGTGAAAATATATGCAAAGAAACTAGGCAGGAATTTTTGAAATTTAAACAAGAATACGTTTCTGACCATGGAAATGTAAACAAAGCTTTACAGGAAGTTTTACCATCAGGTCAGTCACTTCAGTTACTGTCTAAAACTAGAAGTCCCTTTCTACGTTCTGAAACCAAACAACTTTCTTCTGAATCGGATACTTTTGCAATCCAGAAAAAAAAAAGGATTGTTTGTGATGAAGACGAAACGATCGAGATTGAAGATACTGCAAGTCAGCCAAAGAAATCTTCTAAGAAGCAGAACAATACTGATGGTAAAAAAAAGGCCTTTCATTCTGGAAAAGCCACCCTAGAACATAAATGTGAGAGCCTGGGAGATGAAAGTGAAAAAATGCCAGTATTAATAGCTTCTTTTGTAGGAACCACCAAGCAGATGCCCATATTGAAAAAACCAGAACCACTGAAACCAAAATCTCCAAGGGTGCCTTGTGCAAAAATACGATTTAAAGATCAATCAAAAGATAGCATTGTTAATGTTAAACAACTTGAACAAAAAATATTATCTCAGCATATAATTCTTCCCACAGCAGCGACCAATACTGCAGACTTTGATGATACCTGTTCTGTAGTTTCCTATATAAGTGAAAAATCTATGAGCATTTCTAAAGAAGCCTCAGAATTAAACATACCCAGTCACTTAGAAAGATCTTACAGTACAAAAAGCTCTGCTTCATCTAGTATGAAATTTGCTCCAGCATACCTGGAAGAAACAATATCTGAAGGTAGAGTACGTTTTTCAAAATCACATTTGAAACCTTTTTCTTCATACAGCAAGTCAAAGTTGTCTTCTGGAATTGTTTCACGATCTATTGATGAAATAATTGAATCTTTAAAGTCTACTGTTCCCACTGCATCAGACCTAAAGATCAAAGAACTCTTGGAGAGTATTCTTGGCCAGGATTATCTCATAAAAATTCAAGTAGGTAAATTAGAATGAATTAAAGAAGCTTGGGTTAGTAAGATTTTCTTTTAGTAATATTGCCTTTAAAAATACTGTCTGTTGTCCCAGAGGTGTTTTTTTCCCCAAAAGGGAACTGGATTTCTTTGATTTTTTTTTTCTTTGAGAATGTTTTCAAAGAAAAAAAAACCAAGCAAAAAAGTGCTGTTTTGGAAAAAAGCATTTTTGAGATTTCAATAATAATAATAATGTATTATAACATTTTGAAAAATATAATATATTTATTAACATTTGCTCTTACTTGCTATTAGTTGTTGTTAGTTAAAAGTAATATTGACCACATTTAAATGGATTCTCCTTTGTAAGGATTTCTTTAATTAAAGATATATATATATAGTTTGGTGATCTATGTATGCAAAGTATTATTCTTTCAAAGTCAAGATATACTAAAATGAATACAAACAAAAGATAATGAATGCTAAGTTAAAACCAAACCAAATTATACGTAGATCTGTGTGAGGTATGAACACAACCTGTGTAAATGTAACTTCATTGTATTGATCTATGATCAATCAAATCAGCAGTTTTAAAAATTATTATTTTTATTTCATCTTATAATCTAACAAATATATTATGGTTAAAGCTTTGAGATGTATTTTATTTTTTTAATATTTTTTTTATTAATTTTCCAAATTTTAAAAAACATAAAACAAAACTTTATACATTGTTATCAACATCAAGACATCTTTTGCATTTCCTCACATTTTTCAGTATATGTATTTACTTATTTCTTTACCATTACATTTTATTCTTACTATAAATCAATATCTTTTACCCTTACATCTCTTGCATGGCAAAATGTCCTTTCATATTATTTGCATTTCCAACATTGACTAGAAGTATCTTTATTTATCTTAGATAATTTTTCTGCAGTCACATACCAAGCATATACAGATAGTCCTTGGGTGATGACCATAACTGAGCCCTGCAATTACAGTCATGACAGTTGTAAAACTGGTTACCATATCACTCTATTGTACCAATCTTAAGCTGTCTATTTTTCTGTGCAGTATTAATAAGTCCTGATGGGTGGGGTTCAGCCAGTTCGCACTACTTCGGGAGAACCAATTATTAACATTCTGAGCAGTTTGGTGAACTGGTTGTTGGAAGAAATCATTAGAGCAGAGAACCAGTTGTTAAATTATTTGAATCCCACCACTGGGTTAACCCTTTCTCCTTGCCCAGTGTTTCTTTTCTGTAAAATGCTTCTTGTGCTGAAATCAATTCAGTAAAGGTACTTTGGGGCTTGTATTCATATTCTTAACATGGCACTTTGCACATAATGGTTTTTAAAATCTATATTAACTTTAACTTTATTGTACCATAAAAGCCATGCCTACCACACATCAGGTTTGTTTTCTGATGCCAATGTTCTATTGTTTCTTAGCAACATCCACTCTTTCATTCAAACAGGCTACAAAATGCAGTTTGAAATTGGGCAATCCTAATCCTTCTCTTTCCTTTGCATCTTGCTGAATTTTATATTTAACTGTTGATTTCTCCTCAGCCATATAAATCTTTTTGCCATTGCTTAAAAGTGCATCATTTCTGAGATAGATATTGTTTAAAAAACATTCTTGATAATATATTTATTTTCATTACAGAAATTCTTACAAACTATGATAATTATAACTTTTTTCATCTTAGTAAGGACTTAGTTTCATTTCATATCATGATGTTATTTTGAAATGATATACATTTTATCAGGGGTGGGATGCTACTGGTTCAACCTGGTTCTGTAGAACCGGTAGCTCTGAAGAGTAGCAGACATCAAACCGGTTTGCTGTCTGCTGCTCTGTTTGGCCCAGCCACCTGCCCAGGCTCTTGGCTGTCCTTTATTTCCTGCTTTTTCAACCTCAGCTACTTTGTGTGGCATAGCTGAGGTTGAAAAAGCAGGAAAGAAGAGGAGTTTGAAATGTTATGCACCCGCACACAGCGCTTGTCAGCTGTCCGGGAAGCACAGCTGAGGTTTTTGGAAAATGCTCTACACACACACGCAAAATGCACTCTCACCAGGGGTGGGATTCTACCTGCCGGAGAACTGGCAAATAGGACCACTGGCTGGCCCTGGTGGCCAGGATGTCTCATACTGGCTATTTTGCTTGGACATCTTTTTCTTTTATTTCTCATTTGTTTCAGGTAATGTGTATATGGAAATATTTTTTCCTTCTATGAAAATAGGAGAGTAATAGGCCTGCAAATACTAGGTTTCATTTAATTGTCTACTGTGATTGCTGCAGTGATAGCAACAGAATGCTGGATTACAGGATTGTGGATCATTGCAGAATCCTTCTCAGTGGCAGAGAAAGAAATCTACAGTATTACTCCTTGGTAGCCCTCTTTGAGAGGGTAGGATTTTTTTCACTTCATATTCTGCTAAGTATGGGTTCAAGGTGTCCAAAGTTTACTGAATTATATCCTAGCATTTTTAATGCTATATACTTTCTAAGAGTTATAGACAGATTGTATAGCCACTTCTTGAATAGATATCTTTAATGGTGTGAATAAAATTTCAACAGATGTTTGTTTTTCTCTAAGATCATTAACTATAAAGAAAATAATCTGAGTTATTTATTTAATTAGTATTTGCTTACATATACATTGGCAATTAAGGAAATATTGCAGTTTAATGAATATTTTATAATATTTCATATTATAAATAATATTTATAAATATTTCATAATACTTATATTACCAAGGGAAGTTTAAATATATTATATGAATGTGTGCTTTCTAATATTTGTATTATTTTCTTTTAAAATAAAGCAGTCAACTATCAAAAAAGAAATGCAGCCAAATGAACTGGAATTACCAGCTATACGAATGGCACCAGTAGAAAGTGACATTATGAAATCGGTAAGGTTCAACATGACATTGTAGAAAGATTACAAGTTTTCCTCTGACAGTGACATAAGGAGTATCCTAACAGAACTTGCATTAGTATATTTATCATTTTCTATCAGAGTGGAACTTAGGTTTTTATGAATTGTTCATTCATTTGCACATGGAATGGTAAGATGAATTCCTTCTCCCCAATTTGCAGTTCATTGACTTCGCTGGAAATTTTAGAGATTTCTGAAGTATAAGTCCCATAGAGCTGCAATTCTATAATGTGAGTGATTATATTCATTCCTCACCAGCGTTAGTACTTCTAAATGCGTGTAACAATAATGATAAAATATTACATTATGTTACATTTATTATGTGTACATCTCAAAGGACTTGAGATCTTCTAAGAGGGGAAATCTTCTGTGAAGGACGATGCCACAATGATTAATATGTCTCAATGAGCAGGCAGAAGGTGGGAAGGTCGGGAGTGAAAGCTGCCTATGAGTAGAGAGCAGATCATGGAGCATTCTAGTATCTTGAGATTTGCAAGGGGCCTGGGACCAAGTAATTCAAGACATTGTATTGAGGGGTCTCAAATAATTAGATGTGGTTTGAGAGGGACATCCTGTGATGCTAGTGTCTTGTATGTGACTGCTGGTGCTTTAGCTAGTGGACGGAACTTTTGTATTTGGACTTGGGCAGCTATAAGTAAGAGTCAAGAGGATTCAGTATACTATCACTGAAGGTACAGATTCACAATTATGGCTTCTGCTAGTGGGGAGGTGGGGAAGGGTGCCTTTGCTCAGCTTCAGATGGTGTATCTCTTAGCTGCAATGACTTGTGCCTTTGCCACAACCATTTAGACTACAGCAATGCACTCCACATGGAGTGCTCTTTAAATTATTAAATAATTTAAATGATTATCCCTTTTATTACCACATAGTCTAATAGCTATTTATAAAAGGAAACACTTCATTCAAAAAAGATGTTGAGGCTCTAGAAAAAGGACAGAGAAGAGCAACCAGGATGATTAGGGGACTGGAGACTAAAACATATGAAGAACAGTTATAGGAACTGGGCATGGCTAGTCTAGTGAAGAGAAGGACCAGGGGAAACAAGATAGCAGTGTTCCAATATTTGAGCAGCTGCCACAGAGAGGAAGGGGTCAAGCTATTTTCCAAGGCACCCAAAGGCCAGACAAGGAATAATGGATGGAAACTGAACAAGGAGAGATTTAACCTGGAAATAAGAAGAAACTTTCTGACAGTGAGAACAATCAACCAATGGAATAGCTTGCCCTCGGAAATTGTGGGAACTTCATCACTGAAGGCTTTCAAGAAGAGATTGGACTGCCATTTTTCAGAAATGGTGTAGGGTCTCCTGCTTGGGTGGGGGAGGGCTGGAGTAGAATACCTACAAGGTCCCTTCAAACTCTGTTAATCTGTAAGACATTACAGAATATCTACAAGGTCCCTTCAAACTCTGTTAATCTGTAATGTCTTTTGGGCCAGAAGGTTCCAATGACTTAGCCACCTTCTAGAGAAGGAGAGGATATATTGCTCCTGAACCATAGCTTGAAAGTAATTCTTAAGCTGTTAGCTATTGAAAATATAATTCAGGGCAATCTTACTCCATATGCTTTCCTCTAAAAATGTTTGGACTTCAAAGATTCCCAGTTAATATTTCTGAACAATGTCAGATTGGAAAGCTGCTTTCAGCCTGGACTTTCTCTAAAATGAGCAGCAGTGGATTCATGTCAAGGAGAGTCCACCGCATTAAAGGAACTGTCCTAGATAGGAAGGATCTTCAAATCCTTACACATTCATTTCTTCAACTTTCTGAAGAATGAAGACAAACTATTAATCCAGTGTGTGCCATGGGTGCCACCCACATCTTCCTTGTTCAATGTTATTGAGGCACATTAGAGTGGAAACTTCAACTTTCTCTCTGGGGAAACTTCTTCCCCTCTTTGTATTTCCCTGCCCCTCACACCCTAGTTATTTGCCCCTGCATTCATTTGCTACTCAGCAGACCAATGGGTAATTGGCCCCTAAGGTTGTATTCTACTAAGGTCCTTTGGAGAAGGAGCATATTCTTTATAGATTTTACTAGAGCAGGGGTTCTTAATCTTTTTACATCCTGTACCCTTTTGAGAGTCTAGAGGCTTCTAGACTAAATTACTTGGTTGTTTGCATTCATTACTGAGTGGCAAGGTAAATTTCAGTTAGAAATAAATGAAAGTAGAAATTATATTTTTGTCCAAGTTCACAGACCAGCTGAATGAAAATATAATTCTATTTTTTCTCCCCATTGAAGTTCACAGACCAGCTGAAATCTACCCACAGATCCCCAAAGGGACCCAAGTTGAGAATCCCTATAATAATAATGTCCCTAAAACAAAGAAAATCCTACAGCTCTGCTCACAATATCATAGCCTATTTGGGGAGCTATTGCTGATTAAGTGCATTAAGCAGTCAATGAGATAGTAGAACTATTCAGCAAATGTTAATTGGCAATTCCTCTACTTCAGAGCTCCACAATTTTATTTTAGGATGGCTAAGGACCATGGGAAACTTAACAGTAGCATAATGACATGGTGGAATAAGCATTTTTGCATTACTTTTATGTTTCAGCAATTTTTAGAAAAGCAAAATAGGTATATTAAACACACTGATGGACAGCCGACATCTCACTGCTGTTGTTCAGTGGACTGTTTGCCAGCAGAGTCATGGAAGATTTCTGGGATTACAAGAAGGAAACTGGGAAGCTATTTGTGAATTATAAAGCATCAGCAGACTAATTGGATCTGGTGGCCAAAACAGCGCCTGCTTCTTTTTGGGAAGAGAATGTTCCAATTTTCAGTATTTCTAGAATAGAAGGGTGAATGGATGTCAATGGGGAGGAGCGGGGGGAGGTGCTCTTTGATTTCTGCCAGAGGCTCCCTGTTTTTTCCCTATCCCTACTTTTGCCAAACGCTGTGACAGTCAGATGTTGAAGCTTGTTCCTAGTAACTAAGATACCTTGACCAGTCAAATGATCAACATAGGAATGCTCTTTCTCAATCCACATGCTAGAAGGATATAACACCCTTAACAGAGTATTTGGAAATTACCTCATTCCTTGTCAAGTCTCATATATCCTTGGTTACTGTCCGGCAGGCATAATGCTGATTTGAGCATAGGAAGGAGTTCTATCTGAATTCGCCTAACTCTTAACAATTGTTAGTGTGTGTGTTTGTGTGTGTGAGTGTGTATGTGAGAGAAGGAGCCACTCCCAAGGTTAACAGCCTTTGCAAAACTATAGGAGTGATTGAAGCAACAATGTTTTTTTTTTAGTTTCTTACATGTTCTTCAGAGGTGGGCAACGGGCAACCACCCACAATTTGAGAGCCTACTGCCAAATGGATCTGACAGGTCTACATGTACCAGAAACAGTCATTAATATGCTAGCAGTTGTCAGCAAAGGAACAAATCATAGCAGTCCTCATATTTCTTTTTCTTTTCTTATCTTCACTTCTGATCTGAAAGAGAGTTTCTTGAGTTCTTTTGTTTGGAAAATAATATTAACACTCTGATACCATAGGTGGTTCTTCCTTTTCCTCCAGAATGCACCTGAAAGTAAGAATTGCCAAATACGATGACATTTGAAAGCTACTGCAGCATAGTGCCCCAAACACCACATCACAATCTCACTACAGATTTTAAAAATTAAAATAATAATAATAATAATAGGACTAAATCACAGATGCTCTCTTTGATTCAAGACAATTACTGCCTTGGAAAAGAAACTGTTTCTCAATCTATTAGTCCTCATTTTAAACATCTATAATGCTTCCCTGATGGTAACAGATCAAAATATGAATGTCCAGGATGAAAACGGTCTGTGGAGATTTTTAGTGTTCTAGAAAGGAGTCTGTCTGTATTGTCTGAAAATGGCAAGTTCAAAGTTTGAAAACTTTGAAACTGAAAGAAAGCTTTTTTTAGTATATTGCTATTGGTACATGACAAACTACTGCTAAAATTAAAATCTTATGGTATCTCTGGACAACTGCATAACTGGATAGAAGCATTCCTGTCAAACAGACAACAAATGGTCAAAATTGGGAGTGTCCTATCAAATTCTGTACCTGTCAATAGTGGTGTCCCCCAAGGCAGTGTTCTAGGACCAACTCTCTTCATACTCTACATAAATGACCTCTGTGATCATATTAAGAGCAACTGCATTCTCTTCGCTGATGATGCAATGCTGTTCAATACCACAGACAATACTTCTCCCCTTCAAAAAGATCTTGACTATGTATCAGAATGGTCAAACAAATGGCAACTTCAAATCTCAGCAAATAAATGCTCTGTCTTACATATTGGCAAAAAAAAAAAAAACAGAAAATAAAATACAAGCTGAATAGTCAAGACCTTGTTGATGATCCAAGCTCTGTAAAGGACCTTGGAATACTCATCTCTAATGATCTAAGTGCTAGAGCCCACTGTAACTATATAGCCAAAAAGGCATTAAGAATTGTTAACCTAATCCTATGTAGCTTTTTCTCTGGTAATATCACACTACTAACTAGAGCATCCAAAACATTTGCTAGACCAATACTCGAATACAGCTCATCAGTCTGGAACCCACATTACGTATCTGATATTAACACAGTTGAGAAAGTCCAGAAATATTTCACAAGAAGAGTTCTCCACTCCTCTACTCGTTGTAGAATACCTTATGCCACCAGACTTGAAATTCTAGACCTAGAAAACCTTGTATTATGCCATCTTCAGTCTGATCTAAGTATGGTAAATAAAACCATACATTTCAATGACTTACCTGTCAATGAATACTTCAGCTTCAACCATAACAACACAAGAGCACGCAATAGATACAAACTCAAAGTTAACCGCACCAAACTTGATTGCAGGAAATACGACTCAGCAACAGAGTGGTCAATGTCTGGAATACTCTGCCTGAGTCTGTGGTTTCTTCCCCAAACCCCAAAAACTTTAACCTTGGACTGTCTACTATTGACCTCACCCCTTTCCTAAGAGGTCTGCAGGGGGCGTGCATAAATGCACCAACGTGCCTACCGTCCCTGTCCTATTGTTTCTTTTATTTTTCTTATATGTATTCATTTCATGTATTCATAACTATGAATATACTTATACCTATTATCTTGTAAGCGATTGACAAATCAAAATAAATAAAATAAATAAAAAAATAAATATTTATACACTTAAAATTTCCTTATTGGAAAGAGAGTCTATGGTTCTTTTTATCTTTTTTTAACACCTTATTCTTAAATAATTATGATTATGAATTAAAACACCATGCATCAAATTAATCATAATTATTTGAATCTAATTATCTTAATTATTATTTAATCTAATTACTTAAGTGTATAATCACCATACAGTAACGACAGTGGAATATCTCTGGTAAACATGTATTTTTTTTTGTGTGTGTGTGTGTGTATGTATACACACACACACATATTGTTGAGCTTCATCTGTTTCTTGGCACCCTCAAAATGTATCAGGGACAGGATTCTATGCTTCAGTTAATCATCAACAATATGTACTGCCTCTCAGTTTTGATTTATTGGATATTGGATTTTATTATGATGGTTTATTTCTTGTAAAAAGGTGGTTTTGTCCTGTATTGCGTATTTTTCAGGCAATAACTGAAAGATCCCAGTCAAGGTCCATTTCCTACAGTGCACAGCTGCAGTCTTCTGAAGTGAGAGAATATATTGCTGGAATTGAGGTTAATTCATCCTATTCTCATTTTGTTGTTGCTGATTTTTTTTCTTTCAAGCTACTTTGTTGGGTAATTTACTTTATAACATGAGTGTTTTTCCTTCATGTGATTTCAGGCTCTCCCCCACCCTGCTGTAGTCAGCATTTTCCTTCAATAGACACAGGAAGTTCATACTAACCTAAAATTGAAGGAGGGGGAAATATGGGGCTTGCTACCAGAACTTCAATAGTTTCCAAAAAATGAGAGGAGATAGGTCTTCAATACGGTAGTCTATTTGTCAGGGTTCCAAGTAACATACCCATAGGAAACAAAACTCTGAGGCAGATAAATTCCTCAGAGAATAAGTTTATTGGATATGTAATATTTCACAGGCTCGTGAAAACCGACTCTGACTATTCCCGTAGTTTTCACCTAATTAAAGATTTTTCACTTTCTCAAAACAATCAGTCACCTGGTCCAATCAGGATACTGTCCAATGCCTAGGTGACTCCAGTTCCCTCCTTCTGAGCATCTGCAGGAATGTCCTTGATTCCCAAGAGAAAGTATTTTGTTTTGACTACAAACCCCAACTATCTCTATTCCACTCTCTCTCTGTCCCTCTTCTCCAGTGTGTCAGCGCTGAAGTCTCAAAATGGCTTCAGCCATGGCCAGCTTCAGTGCTGACATTCTGTGTTGCTTGGGCAAACTAAAGACATTATTGATTGGAGACATCAGACATTTTATGAAAAAAAGTCTCTAGTCATGTGTAGAGGGCTTTTTTCTTTTATACTGAGTAACTGTGACTGGGTGTTCCCCATACAAGATGAATTTAAAAAAATGAATAAGTCACTTTGGCAGCTCCAGGTTTCTGTCCGTGTATTTTTAGAAATTGTCCATTGCTTCATCTCTCCAATCAATAGATGTGACACAATTGTGGAATACTGGGCTAAAGTAGATATGTGTCATTATTCATACTGCTTGTATTTACATGCATTTTTAGTCAGTGTATGAATTCCACACCATGAATGCTTTTAAGATTTAGTCCCTGTGGATGATCCAGTGTAAATCAGGATTCCCATTTAGTACTGTTGTAAGGAAGGTATATGCCATTGCTTACATGCTATCAGTTTTCTCAAATAAATTGTTTTTAGTTTTTCCCAAGCCTCACAAAGTATTTTCTCACACTATGTAATTCTCCATACACATTTTCTTTAATTGACCCAAACTGTGATAAAAAAACAAATTACAATAAGAGAAGTTCTTCTTCAAGTTGGGTTTGACTCCTGGCAATTTCATGGACATGCAAATATACTTTTCTGGACAACAATATGGGAATTGTTTGTCCCTGTTTTCTTCCCCAATATTTCTCTTGACTCTTCTGTCTAGCCTACAGAGAAAGATTTCCTGTTTGTTTCCTATCCCAACCAAGTCTAGCCTATTTAGTTTTCCAAAAGTAGCCAAGCTGCCTAAGTGCTGCAGGATCAGCATTACATTAATAACCAATAGCGGCATCTTGATGGCATGATTTAATTGCTCAATAGATAAATGGACAGCAGTTGAATTAAACACTGATTGGAATTACATTTATGTTACCATTGAGCTACAATTATCCTATAACGATTGCCATGGTTGGGTTTTAGATGGTAGAACAGCGTCATGTTTTCTCAACGCAGGTTACAAGAGTACCAAAATTTAACTGAAAAGAATTATCTGAAAGACATAAGCTGTTCCAATTTTAAGGTATATCTTTATAGTTCTTACTAATTGACTTCATTGTAGAGTTACATTTATACTATTAAAAAAAAACAACTCAATTAAAAACAGAGCTTGCATATTTCAGTGGAATAAAACTAATAATGTGACTAACTTTCTCCCTTAGGTTCCAATTCAAGCAGCTACAGAAGAATCAGATCATATCTTTAAAACAGTTTCACCAGAACAACAAAGCATCCATGAAAGTGAAGATTATTTATCTTCAGAGGTTGAAGTGACATTAGAGTTAGTTGCTGAAAAGTCTAAAACTTCGGTGCATCTCTCTAGTGAAGAAGAATTAGTAAGTAAAAACAATCATTTTTCTTTCCTATTGGATCATTGTAGGCCCTGGTTAGTCCAAACATTAGGACTTAACCCACAGTACAAGGACCAAGAATGATTCAGAAGTTTGAGTAAGCATCCAACTATGTCCCTCAGTGAAGGGAAGAATAGTTTATTCATGGGGAATCCTGGTGCATAGCAAACATTGTGAGTACTTACTAGCAGTATGTGGAGTATTTTCATCTTTCCATGGCTTTGCCTTTCTAGAAAGCAAGAGAACTTGACTTCTCAGATCCTGGAATATAATTGCCAAAGAGATTTAAGGATTTTCCAGGGATACTATGAAGCAAAATAGTGGGCATAACAGATATACAAATGGTAAGGCATGTGGGGGGAGGGGAGAAAGGCGCTTCCTTCAGTAGAAGGAGATTGAGCTCTCTTCGGAGGGAGTTAAAGAGTTTTAAAGATAAAAAGACAATCATTAAGGCACCTGTGGTGCCTCTTAAACCTCTCTTTCCTAGATAGATAGATAGATAGATAGATAGATAGATAGATAGATAGATAGATAG